CGTAACATAGGGCGTCCCAAATTTTTAACATAGTAATTCTGTTAAAGCCACAATAAGAGCCACGATGAACTTCTTACATAGACCACGAGGTTTAGCTAAGAAATTACAGTCCGACGTTGCTTATATATATGTACCATAAATCTCACTCGATGAGAAATGTAGCTTGTACGATGGCAGGGGCTCATTAATAGAAACGTTATACAGGTCCAGTGGGTTAAGCCCCACGGGGCATTACAGTTGTTTGGCACTGTCTTTTTTTAAGCAAATGTTCTTTTTCGTTAGCTCATTACGTATACATATAATGTAATATATGTTTAGGGCAATGTTATAGCTCGTTTGCTTTTCCATCTTAAACGTGTCGCTTGAAACGGTTAATGGTGGTCATTTCTTTAAAAGTCCTCATATGCGCCTAAGGCAAAGGATGAAGAAGACAATACGAATGTAGTTCGAACGTTGGGAATGTACTAGACCCTCCAATGCAGTACCCTCTTCTCGAAGCCCGGTAGTGCATAGGCCTAACAAAAACATATTTTACACATCGCTTGAGTCAACCTTAGGATGTACATATGAACTATCGGCTCGAATCTACACATATTGAACGAAAAAAGGTCTTCAGAAAGCCGTTAATATAGATTCGATCTCGCGACCTGTAATTGGTATTTAACAGCAAAGCGCATGTATATTAAGAGTAGATTTTGTAGTATTTAGCACAGTATATCGTGGTTCTAGAAGTTTGTCAGATCAAAACCATTTTCCCTCGAAAACGACAAGGTATTCGCTCTATTTCTATAAGCGTTTTCTATGACCGAGTGTTATATATAGTATTATCATTGGGAGGCCTTGTTTTTCCAGTCATTTCACGTGTTCGATCGCTGTGCGATGCAAGATCTCTACGAAAGGCTCGAGGTACTTTGGTTTCTTGCCTTACTCCATCTAATGCTGCATCCACGAATGCATCAGTCCAATTCTAAAATTCGTAATCCTAACAAAGCTAATATGTTACGCGGCAGATTTGTATCTCCGATGACTTGAAATTTATAATAAAAACAATTTTACGAAAAAGCGTTATTGAAAACAAATAGCATGGGACCTTCGTTCGATAAGCTTAGAGTAATTAGTTATCAGACCTATTCTCCTATGGCCCGTGGAACAGTTCTCACTATCGAATTTTCGAACCTATGCTAAATAAACATTAAGCAGCTGGCAATATACTGTACCCACAACTTAATAAGATAAATGAGCGAATATTTAACTGACTTTAGTTCGATGCCGTAGAATAGACGACGTAAGTTAAAGCGAAAGTTGAAAACACGCTTAAACGTCGACCGTTACAAGTCAAACTAAAGAAAGATGCGTAGCTGAGCTGCGACCTTGAATCTGAATCCTTTCTTTAGCATTAACTTTTTCGCCAAAGTTCATTCTGTTAAAGATGCTGCCAGTGATACGAGTTTTAATCTGTCTACGCCTCGACCCGTAATGCCTCGCCTAGTGAAATGGCGTGTAATATGTAAGTATATTTGAATACGTGAATAAGTTTTATTTATCTAAAAGCATGCGCGTCATACCCTTAACCATGTTCCGCTTAGTCAAATGACCCTAGTATTATTATATAAGTGTTAGCCATAAACAAAACGTTGCTGGCTGCCGGCTAACGGACGACAGGTCCCTTTGTCTGTTAGGATCATCGATCGGGAGCCTAGCCGAATACATCGTCTATGTCCGTTGATGCATTTTTTTTCAGCAATGTCGACGTGAGCATAACGGAAAAGGACTTGATTATTAGGACTGTGGGAGAAATTGACCCAGCGCACCCACAGATTTCACTACAGCTGAGTGAACGTTGAAGTTTTTACTAAGGGGTCGACCGGTTACTAGAGCGGCTGCTGCACCTACCCCATAGCCGGACCCATGCCACCGCCAAGCAATAAAGCCATCTGTTTAAACATGGGCTCATATGGATCAAGCGTGTACAACAAAGGACGTCCTTTTGCACAATACTAGCGATTGGCGTCTCGAGTAAAGGACGCATGATGATATATCATCTGCCGCTAGCGACACATTCGTAATGGGGGCACGATCGTAACTTCGACTTGCAAGTCGTAGATTGCGTAATCTACTATTTGTATACACGTTTCTAGTGAAATATCTACATTTGTTTCTACCTATATCAAAAATTCGATTCAGCCTTGGCCGAGTAGACTGAGATTAAGTTCGCACTAAATCCACTAAATTACTCTATACGCATTCAAAAGAATCAAATTTGAGATCTCACCTCGTAAATACCCCTATAATTTCGAGTGTTGAAACTTGCCTTAGCGAAGCATCATGTGTGCTTTATGCTATGAATCGAGCGTTTGCAATCAAAGCATTAAGCAGTATTACATACTGCTCATTACAGGGACACGATTTTTAACTTTAAGTTAAAAGACGACTAAGTAGCACAAGCAGGTGAGGTTCACTCTTTAAAATACATGTATTGACGTCACATGCAGGACTTCGTAAAGTACGTTCGTTGTGTCGTAATTACTATAATTAGACCTGATGCATTTGAAACAAACTTGTCCTGAACGAACTTCCTGGCAGCTCCTATTCTAAACTTAAGCAAAACAATTGTGTTGACATTCGTCTATAAACCGCGTTTCTATATTTATTAACTCATCTTTCAGAAGATGATGATAACCAATTCTGTTTATCCAGCCAATGATACCATGTAGCGGACGACATAACATACTTGAACAACGATTGATATTTCTGAGCTTTAAATCCATCATTGTGATTACCTTCATTATCATCGTATGTTGTCTTAACAGCGGCTAACCAATGCAGTACATTTCACCCGAGATTTTTATCGATTACAATATAATCGATAGAAATAAGATACGGAAAAAGTACTGCGGGAAGACACGACGTATCTTCTTCTATTACCTTTGCAATACATTTTATTGAATAAAATAATTTGTTATTTAAAGAAGAGCAAAAAGCAAATACAAGCCGATACAGATCCAGGCGCGGTCCAGTACGCCTATGCGTCTGCATAAAGATGAACCTGATGCGATCCATCGTTGAACAATTTGGCACTACGACAAGGTATTTGCTATAACACGTGACAAACATATTATGGTATATGAGTTAATATTTGTCAGCGCTTTTTACCAGCATATAGACTTTAGCCTGTTCACTATCTGATTACCAGCAAAACATGCCCAACTGGGCTGTCGTCCTCACGTGAACCCTTCATTTATACATTGTCGCCTTTCGATCTCAGCATAAGTATCTGGCATGCTTCGACTACATCGACATACATGAAGTCACGCAAAGTGCAAATGAAGCCATTCAACAGATTTGTCGCTAGTGCAAGGCGCTCTCTAGAGAGGTCGCTGCTTTCGTAAAATACGCAACGTTTAACGTATCTATTGGGTCAAATGATTAGCATTAGTGTACATGGGTTTAGATCTCGCGCACTGGGTTTGCTACTGCTGCTGCTGCTGCTGCTGCTATTCGCTGTTCGATGTTTCCGGAGAAAAACGCAATGCTTATGCACAGAGTATATAGAATGAAGGCGGTTGAGTTATAGGTAGCCAACTCTTTTGGCTGTAAAGTTAGGTGCTTTGGTAGCGGCAATCGACAAATACGGACTGCAGTAGCTAATGCTGAGTATTTAATGTTCCACACTATAACTAGCCGAGATCTTTGTACCGTGTGCTCATTGCTTTGCCATCGCCTATCAAAAGACCTCGAGCGCTTTGTTTATAAAGCTCGTAAATCTAGCCCGAACCTGCTAGCTAGCCTTTGCATACACGAAAGAGAAAAGCTATGCGGAGTGAGAAAAATTGGGTGTCTCGATCAGGAGCGAATAGCTAAACGCCCATTGGGGACGAATACCAAGGGCGGTCTGTACAACAAGTACGATTTGTACAGCGATCGACTCGAAATCGAGTTTGCTCTGCTTCAAATTTTAGTACACTGAATAAACGCGAAAGGCAGAGGATAGGTTTCTAGGTCTTTTTCATCCCTTCATATAGGCATATCAGCATAAAACGATACACTGAATATGCAAGAGAGATTTAGATATATTTCCAAGAGCTGCGTGTTGTCGGCAATTTCATGTTATAGACTCATCACAGATCTCGTTTATTGAAAAAGAAAATGATGCAATATTATGCTTTTTTAATGGGTTTGACAACTTCATCACTACCTAGAAAGACTGAAATGGCACAAAGGGGAAAGACTAAAGGGTTAATGCATCATTCGGGTCCTAACGGGCTGGACATTTAATAGAACCTATGTGCTCATACTTTATCCAGCAACGCATTAGCAACCTCCTTGAAACTTTGTATTTGACAACGAGATAATATAATAATAATAATAATTTTCAGCTGCTTTATAAAGAATATTTATTATTTAATTAAAGTGTCAAGCTGTGACCTCATAAAAATATTTTAACTGAGGACTTTCATTGACTAAAATGAGGAACGATCCAATTTAACGCGATACGGTTGGTGTACTACTACTACTACTACTGATCTGCTAAAACCAAATATCAACTAGAATTGTATCAGGAATATCGTGTTTTCCTTTAAATAACTCCACAACATTCAGACTTGTATTATGCTTTATCGTAATCACTTTAAAAGCCGCTCTATCTTTGCTTTGATAATGGCAGCAGGTGTGGTTTTGAATCAAAATTGTACGCTTCGCTTACAAGCACAGCTTGAAGCTGTCGAAAAATATTAGAGATGAAAAAAACAAAAGTAATAATTTATGCAAGTGTACAGGTTTAGGAACCTGAAACGAATAGGAATTCTCAGCAATAGCCTGAATGAAGGTTGCAGTCAAATTATCTATTTGTCAGGACATGAAAACTATTTTATTTGAATGCTTGACAGAAAGACATTGTTCTTATTCTTAGGCCTAAACATATATTTAGAAAATTATTGCGCATCATCGTAAAGCGTCGCTGAAGAAGAAGAAAAAATTAAATAACAAGAAGGGATACTCACGCAACATCGCCCATGTTGATTCCCTTTAAACGCGAGTGTAGCAGTGCACATGTTTTGTGGTCCAGAGTGTTGACGGCTCGTCGCCGGCTCATCGTCGTTCTCGGTGGCAGATCGGGCACCGAAAGACGTGTTGGAGGGGTAGTTCTTCTTAAGCCTACTGGCGTACGTCGAATTGGTGTTTCCAGTGGATCGGGGCTTCCCGAAATACCGCTGCCGGTAGAACCGCTGTCTTCGTCGCTTACTTTGCCAGGTGAATCAGGGGCGTAACCCTGTTGTGAGCTCAACATTGCTGGACGTTGGTTATCCGGCTTGTTTCGATCTTTCGATGGCCCTGCTTCTCTAGCTTCTGTTGGGGTAATATAATCATGCAGCGGATCTTGAGTACGACCGTGTGGGTCTCCATCTTGACTACAATTTTCGTTAACCTCTTGAGGTGGAGCTAGGCTATTTCGCCTACACTTATCACTTGATAAGGGCGTCACACAAGGTGACGAGGCTCGACGCCGAACGATGTGTCGACTGCCTGTTGCGCCAATCATAATGAATCTAATAAGGTTTTATATAAATGTACATGAACCCTTGTTATTTACTTCCTCTCCTTCTCTCTATCCCTCTCTCCCGCCTGTATCTAGTTTTCGTCTGTTTCGTTTAGGGTTTTATCCCACTTTATGATGCACTAGGGATTGCTTTGTCGAAAAAACAACCGGTTTATGGTCTGCTGCCCTGTTTGGCTGCGAGAAGGTAGCCAAATGCCCGGCAATCGGTCGTGGTATAAGGTTAGGCAGCCGGTGGCTCAGTTTGTTCGAACACTATTTTTTTCTATTAAAAACCATCATCAGTGTAAACACTATTAATAGTTGTAAGATTTCAAGTGGTCTATGACGCATACTTATCCATGACTATCTTTGCTTTTGAACATGTCAGCCATAGTGCTTGATTGAAGACGTTTGCTGGTATACGAACTTTCGAAGGTTAATAGGAGATGCATAATGGTCTGACTAACTTCGTCTATGAGTCCCTTGAAGATCGGCGGCTTTATTTATGCGGCTTCAGAATGCACAGTTGGACAGGCTACAACATCAAAATATTATTGTATATATGCATGTATATACACACGGTTGTAAATACAACGATTACAATCATAGCTGAACCATGAGCTGAACTAAAAGCGTAAGGTATCAGACCACCGACGTTCAAATAGATCCAAGGCGGTTTAGATTACAGCTTTATATTTGTCTTGTTCACCAGTTAACAGACACACACATATATCTTCATCGTCGAATGTTCGAAATAGAAGAGCGTTGTCTTCTTCACATTGCTTGTTTTATGTATAATAGGCTTCTCCGCAGACTTTCATGGCATTTTTATAACAAAAACACTTTCGTTCTTATTCTAATCGTAATAAAGCTGGCGAGACACCCTGACCATAAGCACAAAACTGAGACATTGTTATAGTTGGCAGGTTCAGAGCTAAGTCTACTGCCGGACTCAAGTTGATTTCGTCGGCAGCTACTTCCATAAACCGTCACATGGCAGGGTCACCCAGAGCAGAACAAAAAACGACCTTCTTTTGAGGCGCGCTCTTTAGCATGGCATTGTACTTTTTACACAGCCATGTCCTGGGCATCATATTCCGCTAAATGATTTTGCTACTAACATTTCACTATATGGGGCCATTGATACATAATTTTCAAGCTTTATCGAAAAATCGTGGCAACGGCAGTGTTTGCAGCATCCCACAGAGGCTGCTTGCGTACTTGCACGACCCAAGCCACCATATTGTTGTTGACCTGTCACACCTAATAATACGATCAGGATTATCGACAGGAACGCGTTGCGCAATCTCCCCGAATAGCAGTGTCTGCAGGCACTTTATTCTTAACATTCTTCGGCCTCTACAGACTCGTCACCGATAGTTATAACCGTTATAGCAGACGCGTCGCGTAGCACCGGCAATTTTTCACAATCCGGGGCTAATGTTGTCTTACTGCTATATGATAATAGAAGTCTAGCTATTAGCAAAGCTACTGGATCCGAAGTTTTGTGGCTGGTCCGTAAGGAGAATTGCATGGTGACAGCGACAAACAGAACTGCCAGCATCGTATCTCAAGCCATTGTCCACTTGGTTAATGATACAGCTGGTCTCTGCGTAACAAGACGCCCTCAATCAGCCCGTTTCGCTTCAGCATTAGCCATCACGAAGCAAAGTAGTACTCGGCATCAATTCTGGGACCGGAACGTGAGGAGCCGACGGACCACCTGTAACGAATAAGGTTCATCTCTATTAGGAGAGTTCGAAAGTGGCTTAGCCGGTGGCTGCTAATCAGTGTACTTCCAACACGAATATGTATGTGTATACAAGTTAATATGCTAACTTGTAATGCTCTCTATTCGGTAGACCGAAAAGACGTGATACACTTTGAGATTTCATTTGATAATTGACAGATCTGATCTTATAAGGGATAAGGTGAGATAAAATATTGCATTGGAGAACTGTCGCGTGAATTCTGGTAGGGCAACCAGCATGTTGATTTGTGGTAACTTTTATGTGAACATGTCTACACAGAAACTGCATATAAAGAGAGGTGAATCACGAAAAAAAAGCACAGGAATTATGGATGCTATTCTTGTATGATTATATCAGTCATCTTATAAACGTATCTGAAGGTGACAATAGCCTGTCAAGAAAACCTTGTCGATTTCTGCATTGAAACCGGCTTTTTATTTTGTTTATGTCTCATGCGTAAAGAAATACGCAAGCGTCTTATCTCCTTTGTTACTGCGTGGCAAAGCAGTATCTGCGCCGGTTGTGTAAACGTTTTTTAGTCGGAGGTTTTGAATAGAAATTGACGCATCAGAAGCTTTTCGGTAGTTCGCAAACTCGAAATAGTATATTTATAAAATTCTACGATATAAATGCATGTAAAAAGCCGGTAGAGGTCTGTTGGTTTTCAGAGTTCTGTGTTGCTTCAAGGTTTATCGATTTCACAGATAAAAAGACGTCTGGCTCTCAATTGAATTTCGTTTTGCTGTCGGCTTCAAATGCAAACCGCATATTGTGATACCGCTTCGATCTTTCAATATAGCATAACATAACGTTGCAAATATTCAAGCTAACATAGATAGTCACCAACGAGTACTGACCACAAGATTTTGCTGAAATATGACGGGGTACAAATAGGGGCCAATCTGATAAAGTGCCTCTTCGAGAGATGACGAGTCTGCTGGTTTCTCAAGAAGCGATATGCGCTATGCGAAAAATGATATGAGTTTTCACTTACGGAAATTTATGACAGGCAGTACAAAGCAATAAGTATACGCCGTTTTTGTGCCCTACGAATTTTGCGCCCGAAGGGCTTAGATAAATCGTAGCTTACAATTGGCATAGTAAACATCGGCTCTCGCTATGAGTTTTTTCAGTAAGAGTATTATTAATTATGTGGCGGTGCAGAACCAATATTGTGTCGTTACATAATGTTATTCGATTTGAGCTTGTTTGCTACGAAAGTAGCTACCATGTTTCGAAAAATGTTTTAGCCTAGCAGTACCTAGCCTCCTATCCTGGATAACGTGTGCAGGACATCCTTATCTTACGTCTTAGCCAAATAAACACTCACTTTTTCCACCTTTCTCTACCTGTTAATAAGCAACTAGTTTTTCAAATTAGAAAATGCAGGCTATCTAATATTAAGTAATCCAATCGGCCCGTACGTATAATAAGCATATTATCATTAGTTTCGGTTTTCACCTTTCCGGTGAAGAGGTTTTCGAAGTCCTTCAGACGGTTGCCTATACCAAATATAAGTGTCATCTATTTATGCATAGCGGCCGTATGAAAACTGATAACGAAAACAAAAAAAATCATCCTATTTTCTTCATAACGAAGCAAAAAAGACATTCCATCTAACTCTACTGCAAGCCGATATGCAATAGCGCCCACAGCTTGTTTACGTTCTATTACAAGGAAAGTACTGGAACTCACAGAAACGCAAGCAAATAAATACAGTTCCAAAACTTTTTATAGTTGTATAATAATAATTATGTGTCGCCTAAGTAGGCTTAGGTACAATGAACAAATAAATGACGATTTTTGTTAACCTCTACCCTAAACCCGTTCTTTCGTGCGGTTTTTGCCACAATTATAATCTATTCACAGCCTCGTAGTAACGTGGTAGTGAAAGCGAGTAGTAGACCCATTGTGTGCGAACTAACCACTGGTCGCCTCGCTAGTTCCCTTTCTTGCCCAAGCGCAGCTATAAGGTAGGAGTAGGTCCTGAAGTAAGCTTGTCCTGCATGTCACTTGGCTAGAGAAAGGGCTAGTGGAAATGAAGCTAGACTAGGTTTGCTAAGGTGCACATGCAACTTAATCTTCTCTGTAGATTTGGTTTGGGAACCGGATGTCAGACTACTTAACGCGCGATACCTGTGGCGCCACCGGTGGCTGAGGTTGAAATCTAGCGCTCGCACCAACTTTGTACCTTAGTCAACAGAGGGCGCTCCAAATGGTTTTCATGAAGCTCGACAGTTAATACACTACTGGGTGAAAATGTACTTTTTTTTAACGAGGTTCACATCGTATTGCGAAAACGCTTAAACTTTTAATAAGACTAAGTGGTATGCGGTTACGTGACTTCAGATCGTCGTGCTTTGTCCTATGCTTTTTAAAGCCTAATATTAAAACAACTACTTGGCTTTTGAGTGGATAGACGTTCGCTGGAACTCCGTAACAGATTATACTAACAAACGCGATAACCCTTTTCCCGGGTGACAACCTGAAAGGAATACACAGGTTGCCTTCCGCACAACTCGAAGCAGTCATTTCTTGGACCTGGACGCCCTACTTTACCGCCTGTTAGTCGTTACATATGACTATTTTAGAGGTTTGGATACGTTCAGCACGCTCGCTTGCTTGCACACAGCAATATATGAAGCACCCCTGACCTGAATGTGACTAAAGTAATGTTGAAGGAACATTTACATGCCGGAAACACAAATAGGCTGACAGGACGTTCTTACACCGCGCGAAGAAATAGCTTTGATGATAGTGCACAAGTTCGCTAAACTTCACCTAATTTGCCAACATTAAACAACCAACGGAAAGCAATGAAAATTAATTTAACCTTACAGAAAAAAAAGCTTTACTTCATTCATTAATTCACGTTGTTATGAGTATTCCAAAACTCTGTTTGTAAATGCAGAAACGGCCTAACCTAAGGAGAGGTCGTGACATTTATATTTGGAAAATTCATGTAACTAGACGCATACTACGATTCATTCACATTTGTTACAAATAAAAATGGTCAGGTATATACAGACATACATAATAGATGATTGCACAGAAGACCAAATATGTCTCGCAATAATTGTTCAAACTCTCGATAATTGTTCAAGGAATCGAATTAGTGAAGCTGACATGGACTTTGATTTGAGTCAGAGCATTTAAACTGTGTTCCAGTGCGATCATACCGAGCAAACAATACTACAGCAGTGTGGTAAACGATCAGATCTCATAGTAGAGTTTGAAAATTGGAAACGATACATGGTAAAGTAATCAATGAACAGTCGACAAAGATTATGTCGCGCTCACGGCAAAGCTCATAAACATCACCTTCATAAATTCTAGGTATAGGTTTTAAAATCTAGATTAATATAAATATACTACTTTGTGGTCGGATAGTGTGCATTGATGATGCAAATCGGTGAAAGTCTTCAATCGAAAAAGTATTTTACACAAACAAACAACTTCTGCTATTTCTGATCGATCTGAGAAATGTCCCACTTGATAATAACAGTAGCCCACAGTAACGTTTACTTCAGCATCTGTTAGTTCTAGGCAGATTGTTCCCATATACCCACTTACAATTAGTTCTAATGCAAATTATGAGACGATTAAGCGGCCGATGGAAATGGCAAGCTTGCTACTATCTAAAGTGGACGATTACTTCGGAAAATAATAGTTCGCTACAACCTGTCTAAAGTTTTTCTGCTAGCTTTTTTTGAGCCTACGAACAAACAATCCAGCGAGAGCCATTCAGATGTCGAAATTTTGTCCTGTTACTTTCCAGGCCTGTAGCTCAGTGTAATGAGCCTCAAACAACGCCCGGTATATTTGGAGTAAGTACGTATTTTTTTGTGCTTCGTTAGCGCTTAAGGCTTTTCGCAGACATTCTGTCAGAAGTGAATGAATTTCCGCCCCTTCTAGAGGCCAATCAGTAAACGAAGACGTCGTTTGTTCTCACATAGTCATGCGAAATAAATTGAACTATATTTATCTATCGATAAGTATTTATGACCTATCTATCTTTTTGCATTGCTAGGTTCTGGTATACGCTAATTTTTTTCAGCACTTTTAGGAAATGGCTACGCCCACTTTGCCAGCTGTCTTACGCATACTCTCTTTACGTCAGAAGTTTTATACGTCTACAGGAAGCCGTGGCGTCGGCTATAAACATCAAGTGGAAGCATTTAGTAAAAATGAATTACGGTATTAAGGGTTCGAGAGTTATGCTTAAGGTAAGGCAGCGTATCTAAAGTTTGTATGAATTAGAAGAAGAAAATATCAAGTTCTCCTTGAAGTCGATTTTAACGATAGTAGACCATCGAAGCTAACTGTCGTTACTTATATTACAGAGGCATTGTTTAATGGATTACAAATCGGAGCGGGTATAAACCTTGTACCTGAATGGAAATTTCTCTTTTGCATTAACCATTGGATGATAAGCGTTTTCAACAACTGCTCCTAGTTGCCACCTAGTTATTAAGGAATTAAAGATGCAGCAACCGGAGTTCAATAATGACGGTGTGCCCTTTAAATCCGTTTTGACTAGATTTCCATAATTTTTCCTCACGCCTCATTGTTATCTATTATATGTTGCGCTACAAGGATCTATCGTACAATAGCTAGCTTCAAAAATAGATTTCCACCCTATATGACCTAATGGTGTACATCGCCATATACTCAGTGCTAGCGCTGTTACATAGCTTACAGCTTTTAACTTAGATTCAGCAAGTGGTGCCTCGAAAGCGGCCAGAAAGATAGGACACTTCCATTAATTAGCAATGTGTTTCCCGAAATAATAATCATTGTCGGTGCGCTCCTATCTACGATTGCTGCCTTTCACGAACCGTGCTTGCGCCTGGCTCCATCAATATGTGTAGACGTATGCTACGAAGATCATTCGGATTGCATATGTAGGCGAACACTTGTTACTCTGGTATCACTTTAAACAGGTCTTTCGTGAGATCGCCTTTGCGTAATGTAGTGTGAATCGAGAGTCCGAGAGTAACGCACGTAGTACCAGATGGTATTTCTAATTTGTGTTTGAGTAATTTATGTAAGGTACGTAATTTGTCTACAGTAAGCAGAATAAATAGCGTCTAGAATTAGCATGCAGATGCCGGGTCTTCGTTTACGTTGTATGCCTCCGGATAAGGTTGGCCGTTGCGATTTATGGAGCGGTAGGCTAAATTGCCGGAAAGTGTGAGAATCGATGGTAGAGCATTCGAAAACTCATTTTGTGAAAGAAAATGAATTGGTATAGTTGTGACTACGAAACCTAAAATGTCGCCGCTATGACAAAAGTATGAACAAGTGTTTTGCTGTATCTGCTCAGTATTCTGATTACATAGACGTACGATTTGAGGGCAGCGTAAACATAATAAACTTATTTCTTGTTTCGTCCGAGCTATGCATCTTGAGTCCAGCTGGCACGTTGTTATTTTTCAAAACATAGAAGAGCGTATTTTTCGACGGACCCCGTTTTCGGTTGTGTCAAATCAAACGGCCCGCAGGACTGCGCCGCATGAACAGAAAAAAGATAGGTCTCGAAGACAAGTACGATCTGGGCATCGTTGTCATTATTATCCAGTTACAGTCAGCGTAGGCGATTAAGACGGATATTAAAAAATTAGCTGCTGAAATTAATCGGAACCAGTCAAGCAGTACAACCGGAGCTAACACTCAAAAGCCGCTTATCACTTGAGACGTATCGATATTTTCTTGCTGGGTCCGATGAAAGTTATTCGTGAAGCTACTACAGACTTGAGTCTTGAGATTTTCCTTTATTAAAATCGGAAGTAGTGAGTGGGTGCCAGGGGTAATGTGCGAAACGCGACAATTAGTAGTGGTGCATGATAACGGAGATCCGACGAGCCCTGTGAACATGTATAGTTTTCCATGACATTTTTCACAAAGCCTCGTTCACGGAAATGCGCTATTAGGACGTCGTAGGCAAAGTGGAAAGGCGAGTCGGACCTCTCGTAAAAATGGTTTCCATTGATTCGAGTTCAATACACAGAAGAGGTCAGTGACCAATAGAAGTACGTACGTGATATGCACAAAGATAAGCACAATGTTAGACGTGTCTTAGTTCTAAGACCTTTTGTACTTCGGTCTTTGCATAGGCTTTGAAATTATATAAGCCCGACGGAACTATCAACTGAAAGCACGTTAACGAGGAGCTAAATATTTAATGGTTATAAACATTTGTATGAACGGCTATAGGCTACAATCTGATTGAAGCTAAAGTATGCTTTCTATAGTATAAATTTGCTTGTCATACAAATTCATCAGAGTTGTAAAATGTGGTGCATATTGCAGTGACTGCAGATGGCTCATGATGTCATTTTTATTGGCCATATATCTCGACAGATCATTGCTGATTTTTGGTCCTTGTCGTAGGTGTGAATGGGACCTAAATTAGGTGTGGTCAAAAAATAGTCCGTATCTATGTTATTCTTGCCGCATCTAGTACACCCTATTGTGTTGATAATGAGGATCCTTGACGAAGAAATTTATCCATACGCTCTAAACGCTGTAGTCGAATAAAGTACATCTCTAAATATTTTTGTCACCTCTTGAATATGAACGTTTCCTTCCATTTAGATGAAAACAATCGAACATGATAGAGTTATTGGCTTTTATTTACTACCTTGTTTGCTGTTTGGCAACTTTGGGTTAGGTGGAGATTTCATATTCGTAAAAATGAACAAGTTAGAAACAAGTCGATTACCAAATAGAGCTCTGAAACAAACATTTTCGGTTTTCTGCCTCGTTCAACGATCTTCAGCTAACTGTGTAGATTTCTTGTACATACAATCAAAACATCGCATCTGACTTTTTATGATTGTTTATGCTAATGGTGGTACGGACGCATAGTTAGACACGTGTTCAACTTCGTAAACCGACGATGTCAGCTAAGTAGACAGACTTACCTAGGTATTGGCTCTGAGCTGCCGTGCTTATGAACTGAACCGCGGATATTGTGGCTGAAGCTGCTTTGAACGGTAAGTCGGAGAAATCGCGGACTCGCAGTAAAATAAACTATATACACAGGCATCACCGTCGAACGATCTCATAACAGTACGTAGTGTCGTTAATTATCATTTCTTTTCCGTTGGCAGACCGATACATGTTTCTTACACAGCTAGCAGACTGGACCCCTTCTTCTGCTTTCAGCCTCCAGTGAAAATAATTAAAAGGAGATCAATAATTTCTTAGCAAAGGGTGAGTACTGCATTTTTTGCTGCCAGTTGTTTTTTTCCTGATTTTTTAATAGAGTATGGAGCGATACAATAAGAGCTTGACTAGCATGTAATGACTATGGAGGGAAAATCAGCAATCATAATGTAACAAACGATAGGTAGTTGACTACTTTAACCATTATGGCAGCGGGAATAAGTATAGCGATAAAATTATCCATTTTGTACTGGCCAAGCTTCAATAAGCATAATCCTTGCATGTATTGCGAGCTATTATAAACTTATTTCAGCAGTAAGGAATATATAACCCAAATAAAATCAGACCCATTTACGTGACCCGCCCTATATTTATGTATGAATATTGCACGAAATAGCAAACAAATATTGATTATAGCTTGTAGTAAGCGAAACAAAACTATAATTTCGCATTGCCAAAAATGAGTCAAATGAGAAACGTGCTAACTTAAGGCTTCTTTGTACATGCGCAAAGCGAAGTAAAGTCTCTGTAAACCCGAATACTCCGCGGATCACTTGGTCGCAGCGGCTATTGATGATACAGGAGAAACGCATAGTAAAAAGCACTATCTTAGGGGCTTTGGGGCGCAGTTGCCTGTGTTTAAGATACTGTAGTGAACGATAAAATGAACAACATCATATAACAAGCACAATACTATCGAGCTTATGCGTACTTACTGCATTTGGTATATATATATCCCTTGGTATAAAGCGTAACAAATATTAATCTTATATTGAAATGTTTTTGATATTGAGGTTGTGCTTGTACTTCTTAAGATACAAGATCGTGCATTCGAATATCGTTATTTCGGCTTTTGGTGGATGGCTTGTAGTAAGCCATGGGAAAGCAGAAAATTCGAGCAGCTTACAAATAGGGATTTCACCTTGGAACTGCATTGGCGGAAACAGCTCGCCGTGTAAGCCCTATATTCTTTAAAGGTTTTACTACTAAAAATACCGTTAGCTGTTGGGTAAAAAAGAATTGGCAAAAAAAAAAACATTTTGAATTTGAAAATGGGTCTCGTGGAAGAACTCCCGTAAAGGAGAATAACGAAGATCTTGGATCTGTTATATAAGCCATGCCATCACAAAATGCCTGAATATTCGGACTCACGTTTAAACTCAGAGGTAAAAAAATCAGACAAATGTGCGCCGCATGATCTGAGCTGGTATCAAAAAGCAATGCTATAGAAACCTTCGCTTCGTTCTGCTTCCATGTTACAAATTGTGGCCCATCCTTGTAACTTGTAATAAAAAATTGATTCTCTATAACAGTCGCAGACTGTCAGAATGTAATGATGCAATTGAGCCGGCGGGACATTACGCTAAGGCAAATATGCAGCTGCAATAGCTTATTGTATCTCTTTGGCGGTCATATGCAGGTACTATCCTGCAACTCTATCGAGTTTTAGGTTCTTGATCGAGGCTGTCCCCTTGTTAGTTTAGGGGGGTAACGTATTTGCCTGCTAACCTTAGAAACATGTCGGCTGAATCCAGGCAAAGACACCCTTCATGTCGTGCTGGGAGCCGTTTGATGGAATGTCTAATGGCGATGCTGAACGTAAAACTCGAAATAGACAGGTTTGTCGATTAAGGCAAAATGTCGAACACTGACGGAGATAGTGGAGAGATTCCGCATTAGGCAGCCAAAATTAATGAACAAAGATAAGCTCGTGCACATTGCAAGAATCACGGTGCTAAAAATGCAGAAGTCACACTTTGCGTTTTTTTGCTAAGCATCATATTAGCTAGACATTAAGAATATCGACGATTTTCTTTAAAAAATTTAATTACGTCGAAATTGCCCTTGTGGACTTTATAGGCACTTGTATCGTAGTCTCTAGATAGACTGCTAGCTAAGCAAGTTACCATCTAAATGGGAGAAGGTTATAAGTATTGATGGCGTAAACTTTTAAAGAACTTAGTCTGTGAAAAAGGTTAGAATTCAGAGGTAAACTTAGAGAAAAATAAAAATATTTCTAAAAAAAAAATCATTTCCAGCTCTTTTCTATTGGCTTTTTTCTCTACATCCTATATATCCAAGGAACGCAGAATAGTACTTTTCCAAATTTCCCTAATGCTCTTTCATATGCGTGCCAGCCTATGTAACCACATTTGGCGTCTTATCTTAAGAAATGTTGCCCTGTTTATATGGGAGATACAAACAGCTGAGGGCAATTCTCTGAAGTCGAAACGAAGTTCGATAAACTTCCCAACGACGCGGAAGTAAATCATCTATTTTATAACATCGAAGATTTATATGAGCAGGCGGTAAAGCTCTATGCTGAAAGTCAAAAAGGCTATGGCCTTTCATCATTGTATATCTCGTGTCACATATTTCGTAAGCTGTAGATTGTATGTTATCTTGACAACTAAATGAGACGTACATTCTTACTCAGTGCGATGTATAGCCTTTAGTCGTATACCACCATGGTATATTTGTCAGCAGCTGGCCTGGTAAAATACCGATGTACGGGCTTATGACGAACTCCCTGCTACGTTTGTAGCAGTTGTTGGCCGTTGCTTCTTCTTGCAGTACATAACACGCGCGCAATACATCTCCGTTCACCCATCCCAATGCTTGGATCTTGACATGAATGAATATAAGAGCCAATCGAGCGTTGTCCACTGAATAGATAACGCAAAGGAGTCCACAGGTTGAATGCTACAGGATACTAACGGAGGGTCGTATCCAATATAGAACGATTTAGCGTTTATAAACGCAAATGTCTACATACAATTTCGACCATTCGAATGTTTGTCTTTATCTACATAGATTCAGTAGTGCACATAATCTTATTGAATACATTCGTTTCGCAAGGAAGGTCATATTAGACTTGCGGCTCGTGTGTAGGCGCTAATTTTTTTGATTTTAATACTTTTATCACATAAACGCGTAAGTTGGAAGTTACAATTATATTTTTAAAGTGTCAAATGAGCCATGTGTTAGTTTACTCGAAAAATTGGTCTGCTTTATTTATTGGCTCGCTTTTTTTAATTTTTCGTTTGCTATTTGTTATGTTTGGCGTTATATGGTATCCAAAAGTTCTTTGTGCTTTGAAAAATATCGCTTTGTCCAAGTGACAATTTTTCTAACTTGAATTGGGACTTCAAAGATGGGTACGTCGAGTAGAAATAAGTTCGTGACACCCACTTTTCGAGGTCCTAGAGGTGGGGAAACATCTAAAATTTGGTTTGCGTACGGCGAAAAAAAAATTGTTTTCTCTACGGTAAAGACGGTTAAGCCCAATAGTTAAGAGATACGGGCCCACCTAAGAACGATTTTTTTTAAAAGTTTAAAACTCGAAGTCAGTCTTCATGTCTACGGTATGTTCTTCGGGTTAGGGTGCTATGTTTCATCATAGCAAGCCGTTTTTGAGTGGTAATAGTCGTATGTTTGGGATAAATGTTTAGGGTAAAAACTTGTGGCCTGGACAAAACAGGCGGCAACGGCTGGCCAGACAAAAAGCCTTTCTGAGCTATATGATATTAGCCATCAACAAATAAAGAGATGGTAACTCGGTTTCGCTGGATAATGCGTAAGTGCGTTGTTATTCGTAACCACAAGTAACGAGTATGCTACCATGCTAGTTCAAATTTCTGTTAGATATTAATAATTAAACAAAAAAAAAAAAAAAAAGAAGGAAAAATAAAGAATCGAGAAAAGTTATATCTAAAAAAATTGATGACCCTGAGAACCTGTTCGCATAAAATAAACGACTAGTAATAGTACTAAAATACAATAAATAAATTGGAGAATACAGCGTTAAAACATTAAACGAAAACCGTCGAATAATTTAATAAATCACTCCATGTCCTGTCTGTGTAGAAATGAAGAAAACTGAAATAATAAAACCACTCGAAATATTTTCACCCAGTAAATCAAAATAGCAGTAATTGACACGTCTTAGACATAAAACAAAGTTCCCGTTGATATCTTTTCTTTATTAATCATAAACGTCCTTCCTCGAAGAAAGCAATCAACAAAATTGGTACTTTGGAAGTCACTTAACTAGCTCATATTTTGGTCTTCGAAATCGTTACTCATTTACACATTTTCAAAAATATTTGCCCAGGGGCGTTAGAGACGCAGCGCCAAAAGTTCCCTCTTAATCCTAGCGAGCGCTCGCAGATAACGTTTTCAACCACCGGCGCCATTCTCTCACACTAATCAGAGGTTTGTGGATGGGGTATGCCCAAAATCGATGCGGAAAACAATGCGAATACTTCCATGCCATTTTTTAGTAGAAATTGCATGCATGATATCCAATACGTCTAATTGAAGTTCTTTTTACACTAACTTATATTCACTATGGCAACGTCATAGCGTTCGTTGGACGTCCATACAATTGAAAATTACTAGTTTTAGTTAGCGGAACGTGTTATTATTTATTAAGTAGTTATTAACATTTAATCAGTAATTTTTCGACAAATGGCTTTTTTCTTGTTTCACATTTCCTGCCACTACTATAAAGCTGAACGTTACGGAGGGACCTGATTAGATTTGTGCATTGCCGGTAGATAGAACAGCAACACTGGGAAGCGTCAATCAAACTAAATGAACCCTATTTTATCCTACTTTATTATAATATGATCGTACTATGAGCTGCAATTAGAATAGACGAAAATCGAATTGCTCTTAGAGGTCAAATAGCAGGGCATACCTGAAAGTCTTACCCAAACAAAAATCATTTGTGAAAATCTATATAGAATAGAGGCCTATTTATAACTTAGATCTATACATCATACACATCGTATAGACCAAAGATAGTAACTTGAAGCGACGAAGAAAAGAGTGCAGTTCATTTATGTCAATACGCTTATAAAAGGCAAAGAACCAATTGGACTATTCAAAGATCACTTAGATAGATACACTTAATTAGTTGCTATTTATAAATCTTCGTCCATCTCCACTGATAATAGAGATAGAAGCTATCTATTCGGAGTTCAAATAGGATAAGAGAAATGTCTCCGATGATTCATGTAAATTGTCATTCTACTGTACATAACTGCTGTTATCTCTAATTGGCCCAAACGTATGATCAAGTTCTATAAATTATTTATTAGATATTTAGTTTATTCTATAATTGAGAGCTGGTAATTAATCGTAGGGATCCAGTGGGTGCGTTATTTTCAAGGCTCGATTGTCTTTGTTACTGTTTGTTAACTATGGGTGTAATACGGCTTCGTAGTTCGACAATAGCCATACAGCTGATATATTAATGAGTTACCGAAACGCCACATCGAGGTAATTGTACCTTTTTAAACTTAGCCCTACTATCTTAGAAACTTAATTCGACTTAAGAAGACCTGCTTAGTTAGTGACGCTTCCACCTACCCTAAGCTTTTCTTTGATGTTGCTCGACGAGAGCATCGACGTGTTACGTCACATAGCAACCGCTATGTGCAAACAGTAAAACGCGCTTCAATATATAGCTCATACGGATTAAATCAGTGACCGATTCTGACCGCTAACCCCGTGCATGCACTTCTAACCACTCGTTATAAGCACTTCAACTATATTGCGCACTTCGAACGTTTAACTTACCGCCTATACTAATGACTGCGAAAAAGATCGAAGAAGATAAGTATTTCCGAAAGCGGTACGTAACTCATAGAGCACCGCTTTTTATAGAGAATTACGACGGCTTTGAATACACAAACGATCGCTTAAAAGTAAACCACAATTAAAGCCACTTAGGACGGCGACGAGTAGTCGAATTGAAGCATACGAAGGATAATTCGATGGCTTGAAAAATCATGCATTGAAGTAGATCTTCATTACTTATCTTCTATACTGTGAGATTGGCAAAAGCACGTTCGTATCTCTATATTTGCGATGGGTTCGGGCTAAATAGGGCTCCGATTTAAATCGTTATTGTCACTATGACTAGTTATGGGCAGGCCTTACTGTTTTGGTAATTTTCTTAAGTTCCAGACAAGATGCTTTGCTTTTCAGAGTTCCTTTCACTCGACTCTGTACAACATGCACTACATCAGCTAATACCGTTTATATAATTGTAATCACAGTAACCCGTGAATAACACTTGAACCGATGCAAATCATATAACCATTACTGTTATTGCGTAAAGGTGTATGTAACTTTGGCGTAAAGTTCAACGTGACATCCTACTAGACTAATTTGAAACTCCTTCTTAGTATCGTACGCATACAGCAACACATCGAAAAACATTAATGAATCCAATACATAATCTCGAGGGTAGCACCTAACTTACAAAGCCAAGTTACCGTTGCTCGGAGCGTTGTTTTTTTTTAAACAGCACTTGCTAAAAAGACAACGATTAGTGTATAGTGCCGTCGTTCAAACGTAGTGAAAGCATTTCGTAACTTGTTCCGTGTCGATCTTCGTACTCTCTCCTTTCCGGGACATCGTCATTGTTATGATATAGGATCGCGTCCGTGTGGCAGCAGACGAGACATTCCGCCGTTTCAGCTATACCCTGTCATGATGATTTGCGTCTTTGGTGCTAAGAGATGCGCTTCTTCCGGTTGGTAGTCGAATGCGTTTGGTCGTTGCATCCGTTCTCGATTCAAAATAAAGTCACCGTATACTCGACGAATCGGGAGGTGGGGTTTGCGAGCTACAGCGGATAATGTCTACGTTATTATTCCGGAACGCTACAATATACGATTTTGTTGTGAAGGACATTGATGGCAATGATGTATCGCTAAAAAAGTACAACGGTAGGGTTTGTCTCATTGTTAATGTGGCATCAAAGTGTGCTTTTACGAAACAGTACGCTGGTCTACAGGAACTCCATGACAAATATTATGGCCAGGGTCTTTCGGTTTTAGGATTCCCATGCAACCAGTTTGGTTCACAAGAGCCAGCACCGGAAGAAGAAATCAAAAAGTTCACCTCACAAAACTTCAAGGTAACTTTTGACCTGTTCAGGAAAGTAGATGTCAACGGAGACGTTACTTCGCCCCTGTACAAGTTCTTAAAGAGTGAACAGCATGGCTATGAAGGCGACGATATTCAATGGAACTTTTCTAAATTCCTCGTGAATCGTCAAGGTACGCCGGTAAAGCGGTACGGACCAGCTGATAAACCAACTTCGCTCGCTGCAGATATCGAGGAGTGTCTTCGAGAGACACAGTCGAAACTGTGAATAAATGAGTATACGCTCAATAGGCGTATACGTAAACCATAAAAGCAAATTTGATAATGCCGTTTGCCAAGTATTTGTTATGAGTAACTAAATAAGGCACTGTTGTGTACCTAATAAGTTGCTGCTAATAAATATTATGGAATGATAGAGCTTAGAGCTATTCTTCTTTTGATTGTATTTATAGTGTTACACTGCAAACTATGCACCATATATACCTGCCTTGCTACTACTGGACAGATTTGATCGAACAGACCCTATGGAAACACTACTATAATTCCTTACCGTCTGAAATACTTTTGACCTTTACCCAAGTTTGGACTTATTAAATCATATACTAGTTATATTTCTTTAATTACAAGCGTACGAATCATCAAAGCATGTTACTGCCTGTGCCATTGTGTAACGTTTTGCCGTTAAACGAAATTAGCAACACGTAGTAGGGTTGTTTTTGTCAAGATGAACCCTGATGACAAAATGCGCTAAATCCCTTTTACGTATGACCTGTGAAACGGTTGGCCTTTTCGAGTGGGCGAGCTGTGAAAAGCCTTTCAATTAGAGCTTACAATTAACCTGTTTTTGTAGAACAGGTAAAAGATAGGTTTTAAATGAGCAGAATGTGAACTGAATATAGACAAACGTTCGCGAGACCGGATGTTATCTTTCCGATGGAGAGTAAATGATTAACGCTAATCTACTACGTGCATATAGTCGAGAACCCATCAGTTATTTTGCAGATAGTCCCGTAACAGTCTTTCGAAAGGGATACAAGCCTTTCAGTGACTTTTAGTCAAATTTTAGACTCTTATAATAATCTCATTTGTGTTTCGTGGAGCAATAATGATTCGATGCCTTTTGGAATCCTAGGATGCAGCCATAGTTTCTTTTCGCTTCATAATTTTACGAAAATATTAAATACCGTAGAACTATCAGTTACTTAGGATAAATAATCTGAAGCTTAAAAATATATCGAGTGTTTTAAATATGTAAAAAAAAAACACGGCACAACATCTAATTCCTCTTGTTCCAAGTTCAGGCATCTTTCCCCATTAATGAGGCTATATATATGTATATATGTTCCGATATAAATACTACGTTTTTATGGACGTTTCTGTAATCTCATTGATGTCTTAATAGGAAACGAATCGCTACGGCGTACCGCTCTTATGTATATGACAGCTTGCCGTAGTCGTATGTGCGTTCCGCCTCAGGAAATCCAGCTATTAGATTACCAACCTTTGCCATGGATGTATTTTTTGCTTTTCGTTTAATCATTTACTTATTGTTTGGTTCGCTACCTCTCTTGCCCCGTTGTTTTCGTCGGGTCCTGCCATCGAGGCATTGATGAACATTATGAACTATTACTTTGAAAAGGACAACGACCAAAGACAGCAATAGAAAGAAGCTTCGATTGTCGCCGCTTGGGGATAGCTACTTGGCCAGTGCGGCCGCTTGCTTAGTATTTCTCCCCCGGGGACGCCGGCAGCTCCCACTGCTGACTATAAGCCTATAACTAAGGTTAACCTAGCCAATCAACCAGAGCTAGCGGGCAACAATACTTCATATTAATACTCTCTACCAGGAGACAGCCGTTGCTGTCTCGGGTAGCCTAATATCCTGTTCGTTTGCGCCTCAGCGTTGAAGGTAACTACATTGAACAACGCAAGTAAGGACGATGGAGCGGCTCATTCGCGCTATTCGAATAGCCCTTTGGTCCTTCTCTTTATCTCACCGTTTCTCGTGAAAACGGCAACAGTCACGGCAAACAATCAGCTTCTTCTGTAAAGCTGCTCCTTCCACTCACTGCTGTGCGGATCACTGCATGAGGCCCAACCATTTAGCGGCGAGATGATGAAGGTCTTTCTAGTTCATCGTTTTAGCGTCTCAACGGCATTTTGCAGCTAGCGACGCAAAACACCGAACGTGTCTGGTACAAGCGGTAAACTTCTTGCCACGACTCCCCGAAGTCAAGATAATGAGCTTGTGTTATGCAGTACCTTAGTTATATTAGCGTGTCTGAGACAGTGCCGATTATGCAGCAAGAGTGTGTAATATAATAACTATAATAAGAATGATCGTAAGGTAATATCGACTTTCCAGCATACGTTTAAAATCGGCTAATATATTGAGCCATGATGTAATGACCACCACGTAATGAGTGTTACCAAGTCTGTAGAGAAAGGGGAAAATAATAAGTATGAATGCAGATGATTGTCGTGTGTTGCGAAGGTAATTTTTCGTTAAACGAAGCTTTCGAACGAAGCAAATTCAGCTTCTCATTGCTAGTCACCAGAATAAGCTACAGCAGAAGCCGGACAGCAGGTAGGCCACTACTAGAGGAAGGTTCGGGGAACTCTTTTAGCTCGAAGCAGATCAGCGAATCCAATTATGTGAGTGGATTAAACTGCCGCAGTGCATATGTCTATTAAATTTTGTGACACTCTCTGCAAACTCCTGCCGCCGTAGTTCTAATCGACCTAAAGGAAAAATGAGTCATCATGAAATGATTTTAAATTGTAAACAAGTCAAATATATCCTTATTAATTGGAGGTCGTCTTTATTTTTGTACCAAGTGTTGTATGATAGGCTGAAATATTTGTCTCAATGGCCATCTTGTGGATTTATATCGCAACGCCTAACAGCCAACGTATCTGTTTTGCAGCTAAACCTATTTAATCAATAACGTTTGAAGCAGGCAACAGTGAAGTATAAATTCGTCCTGGAGTTCGCTCCGTTTGCAAGAAAACATCCAGCTGACGTATTACCTCAGCATATACCACAGCATTTGTTCTCCGAGACGGTTTTAGCAGTTAGCGGCGAGCGACGTCATTATTAAGTCGCTGCTTCTGCATATGGCATCTGTTTATACAGGTTTTTTGCCATCTAGGTTTGCCTGTGTACTCGCGTATGCGGTTGTGTTTCCCGTTTTCCACCCACTCATCTATAGCACACGAAACTTCTATAGATTTTCATGTAATCGGGATAATATTTTTTGTAATCGGTAATAATTTTCATGTAATATGTACGCATGTGCGTTTGCATTCGAATTAGCTATAGGTAACGTACGTTTGGAAATGGATGTTAATGTAGCCTAGAGAAAGATACGGTGCTGCACAAGGGTATGGTGATTTTTGTCTCTTTGCATGAGTACGGGCATGGCGTCTGTATTTTTTGCAAACGAAATAGAGATACTTGGCTAGATGTTGCACTTTGCTTGAGTTAGTCGCTCGTGTTCTGTTTTGCTATGTAAGAGAATTAAAAACGTAGAGACGGAGGAAGAACAGAGGAGGTTGAGTAATCTGCCGAAGCAAAAAAAATGAATGTAGTGCGCGGAAGGTGCGTCATCGAATCAGTTGGCTATAGCAATCCAAGGAATTTGGATTGAAAAACTCGATGTGGGAGTCGGGCTTTACGATCAAGCTTGTGGATACTACTCGGCATCGCGCCCAGCAACGCCGGCTGGGCTCAAATGACCTAGCTATACTAATAGCGAGCGGTGCTGGCGTCGCTTCCAATCCTGCGCCTGTGCGCTTATCGAGCCGGCGAGTCTCGGCGGTTTGCAGGCCTCTCTGCCGAAGGCCACAGAAGCTCTTAATTAAACTCTCCGTCGGTGGCAATAGGTTAATAGAACGATCGTTTTGTTCCCTTTATCACCCTTCCACCATCGCGCTCAACCTTTCTCATCGTATCACTCTTAGCTAGCAACCCTTTAACGCTGCGCGGGTCAGAACGTGGCTCACTCGTGCTTCAGAATTCGCTCTTCGTTCGCTGCGCACTCTTACCGCCTCCCTAGTAATACCAGTAGCGTAGATTCACGTGTATTTTCTACTGCATCATTATCATCATCATTGCGTTCTTGACCCACGTGAGCGTCTCCAGCATCGAGACACTTTTTGATCGCACGAGAAATATGATCCACAAGCAGAAAATCTAGATTCTCATTTTGCGTAACCCATTGTGAACTCTCATAAGATATAACAATAAAAGTTATTATTATTAAAGGAAATCATAATAATCATGAAACACGCCTTATTAATGCCCCTTCCCATTTTTCACCCAGATTTAGAGTTAATTCTTAAGTGTTTCCAATCAGTCACTAACAGAACCCATAATCTCCATTAAAATTGGATTGAACAGGCCTCTATCATGGATATTGGCGTCCTTTTTGCATATTTGGTTAGGTATTCAGTGGTGGAAGTGCTGTGATCAACATGGAAACGGTTCATTCAACCTGAGACAGTTACGCTTGGTACTATATGTAAGCACTTGCCTTCAGACCATCATCCGGCTTTCTTTTCGCACTTAGTGCTCGGTGATTTCTTGACTCAGAAATCAGAGCTCCTTCTTTTGTGCCCTGTATACTTCGAATGATCTCATTTAATTCTGCACTATGTTTTGTCACTCTACTTGGATCCCTGTACTAGGCTAAGCAATGCAAACCGTCCCTGCTTATCGTGGCGTCACAGGAGATGCATTTAAAGGCCTCACATAATGGTGCCCGCAACCTCAACCAGAAACCATACGGAATAACTTGAGGCTTAGTGTCCTACTTTAATATGTTGATGACGTGAAACGAAGTTGAATCAGACACGATTGAAAAGGTCGCATGCGGTTAAAAACAATCTTTTCTAAGAAAATCAAAAGAAGAAGGTGTCTTTTGTAATAACACTACATCTGAAGACGTTAAAGAGTGTACTGTTCTGAATAATCCCTTAAGGGACGTGAATCTATCTGTTCACAGCTTAAGATCCAGTGAGTTGGCCGAACCGCAGATGAAACGCGCAGCAAACTGGGACAAATTCCGTAGCGGCTCGCACTCTCAAGGCCTTCTTCTGCTCTCTTCCACGTCTATGTGCGCAATATATGAGTAAATCCAGTACACAGGGTACATGTATAACCATATAACGGAGATGTATTAGCTTTGGGAATTTTTGTGAGTGCTATGAGTTCCTTGAATCTTGAATATGTACACCTAAAAGTTCCAGATGTCCCTGCTTAACCTGCCTGACTCTCTAAGGGTGTCTCTGTTGTTGCCTCATATGCATACTTGTTTCTCACGTGGATTTCTACAAGATACTTCACATTCAGTGACCGTTGTACATAAACCACTTGCATCAAACTGTATTACATCTAATAAATCGGCTGCAACCT